ACACCTCAAGGAGCACAAACAGAGAGAGACGGGCACGGTAACGCAGCGAGCAAGATACGAGAAGAGGGGTGAAGGCATGAAGAGGGAGGAAGTGAAGAAGGAGTGGACGGATGGAGTGTGAGGAAGTGAAGAAGGAGCGGACGGAAAAAGGAAACGGAGAAAAAGAAGTAGGAAGGGCGAAAGAGTAGGAGTTGGGGGGCTCTAGGTGCAGATAAGAAGCGACGGTTTGGGGTTGTTCTTCTCCTTGACCACACCGCTATCCTTCACGATCGCAGGCGCCATGAAGCGGAGAAGGGGACGTGTCGAGTGCAAGAGGCAGCGCAACGAGCCACAAACGGCTGTGAAGAAAGACAAAACGGCGTCCAGAAGCTCGGAGACCGATTCACTGGCAGAAAAGGCGCCCAGAAACACATTTAGTAGCCGCAGAAAACGAATTTCAAGACACAAAAAAAGCTGCCGTAGACGAAATTAGTGGCAGAACAAGGTCCCGGAAACGACTTGAGAGGCAAAAATAGCTCCCGGAACCGGTGAGGGGGGCCGGGGGGTGTTGAATTATTATTACTTTTTTTCTTCGAAGGGGGGGGGCGGCCAATTATTATTACTTGTTTTTTTCGCGGGGGGGGCGGGCAACGATTATGATTTCAAATAATAATAATTGAACAAACTCCCTCCCCCCCACGGAATCACCAACATGCGTTCGGAAGCGGACTTTAGTGGCAGAAAAAGCTCCCGGAGACTACTTTAAAGGCAGAAAAGGCCCTGGATGGCAACAAAAAGCGCCCGGAAATTTGAATTTAGTGGCAGAAAAGGCTCCCGCAACTAATTTAATGGCAGAAACAGCTCCCAGAGACTAAATTCAGAGCAAAAATAATTCCCGGAAAGGACAGGAAAGCCTCAAAAAACGAATTTCAATGACGAAAAAGCTGCCGTAAGCTAAATTAGTGGCAGAACAAGCTCCCGGAGACGAATTGAAGGCAGAAATAGCTCCCGGAACGGTTGACGGGGGCCGGGGGGTGTTGAATTATTATTACTTTTTTTCTTCGGAGGGGGGGGGGCGGCCAATTAGTATTACTTCTTTTAGTCTACGGATTTTTTTGTGAAGATATATTTAGTTCAGGGAATTTTTTTGAAGATATATTTAGTCTAGGGAAATTTTCTTGAAGATATATTTAGTCTAGGGGATTTTTTTTGAATATATATTTAATCTAGGGGATTCTTTTTGAAGATATATTTAGTCTAGGGAAATTTTTTTGAAGATATATTTAGTCTAGGGATTTTTTTTGAAGATCTATTTAGTCTAGGGGATTTTTTTTGTATATATATTTAGTCTAGGGATATTTTTTTTGAAGATATATTTAGTTTAGGGGAACTTTTTTTGAAGATATATTTAGTCTAGGTGATTTTTTTTTGGATATATTTTGATTTTGGAGCTTCAAAAGGCCCAGGGGTCCAGATTTGGCACCAAACCTTGTAAAACAAGCATTTTTTAAAAGGAAAAAGTCGATTTTTGAAGGCCCTCGAAAATTTGATTTTTTGTATGCAAGTTTTTTTTGAAGATATAATTAGTCTAGGAAATTTTTTTGAAGACATATTTAGTCTAGGGAATTTTTTTGAAGATATATTTAGTCTAGGTTTTATTTTTTGAAGATATATTTAGTCTAGGGATTTTTTTTTGAAGATATATTTAGTCTAGGGATTTTTTTTGAAGATATATTTAGTCTAGGGAAAATTTTTTTGGAGCTATATTTAGTCTAGGGGATTTTTTTTGAAGATATATTTAGTCTAGGGATTTTTTTTTGGAGCTATATTTAGTCTAGGGGATTTTTTTTGAAGATATATTTAGTTCAGGGAATTTTTTTGAAGATATATTTAGTCTAGGGAAATTTTCTTGAAGATATATTTAGTCTAGGGGATTTTTTTTGAATATATATTTAATCTAGGGGATTCTTTTTGAAGATATATTTAGTCTAGGGAAATTTTTTTGAAGATATATTTCGTCTAGGGGAATTTTTTTGAAGATATATCTAGTCTAGGGTGAGAGGCAGAAACCGGTGAGGGGAGCCGGGGGGTGTTGAATTATTATTACTTTTTTTCTTCGGAGGGGGGGGGCGGCCAATTATTATTACTTTTTTTTTCTCGGGGGGGGGGGGGGGGGCAACCAATTATTATTACTTCAAGTAATAATAATCGGGGGAAACCGGGATTTGAGCAATTATTATTACTTGAAGTAATAATAATGGGGGGAGAAGCAACTACGATTACTTGAAATAATAATAATTGGTGGAACCCCCCCCCCGTCCCGTAGACCGGAGGGGGGGGGGGCGGCCAATTATTATTACTTTTTTTAGTCTACGGATTTTTTTTCGAATAAATATTTAGTCTACGGTTTTTTCTTAATATATATTTAGTCTACGGAATTTTTTTGAATATATATTTAGTCTACGGATTTTTTTTAAAAGATATATTTAGTCTACAGATTTTGTTTTGAATATATATTTAGTCTACGGGCTTTTTTTGGAAAATATATTTAGTCTAGGGTTTTTTTGTATATATTTAATCTACGGATTTTTTTTGTATATATATATATATTTAGTCTACGTGTATATATATATATATTTAGTCTACGGATTTTTTTTTGAAGATATATTTAGTCTGGAGAATTTTTTTTGAAGATATATGTAGTCTAGGGGAATTTTTTTTGCAGATATATTTAGTATAGGGGAACTTTTTTGAAGATATATTTAGTCTAGTGGATTTTTTTTTGAATATAGATTGGTTTTGGAGCTTCAAAAGGCCCAGGGGTCCAGATTTGGCACCAAACCCTGTAAAAGAAGCACTTTTCAAAAGGAAAAAATCGATGTTTGAAGGTCCTTGAAATTTTTACTAGGGACTTTTTTTGGAATATAGATTTAGTCTCGGATTTTTTTTGGGAAGATATACTTAGTCTAGGGGATTTTTTTTGAAGATATATCTAGTCTAGGGATTTTTTTTGGAAGATATATTTAGTCTAGGGGATTTTTTGTGAAGATATATTTAGTCTAAGAATTTTTTTAACATATATATTTAGTCTAGGGATTTTTTTTTGAAGATAGATTTAGTCTACGGTTTTTTGTTTAATATATATATTTAGTCTACGGATTTTTTTTGAATATATATTTAGTCTACGGATTCTTTTTTGAAGATATATTTAGTCTACAGATTTTGTTTTGAATATATATTTAGTCTACGGGCTTTTTTTGGAAAATATATTTAGTCTAGGTTTTTTTTAGTATATATTTAATCTACGGATTTTTTTTTGTATATATATTTAGTCTACTGATTTTTTTTTGAAGATATATTTAGTCTGGAGAATTTTTCTTGAAGATATATGTAGTCTAGGGGATTTTTTTTTGCAGTTATATTTAGTCCAGGGATTTTTTTTTGAAGATAGATTTAGTCTACGTTTTTTTTTAAATATATATTTAGTCTACGGATTTTTTTTGAATATATATTTAGTCTACGGTTTTTTTTGAAAATATATTTAGTCTAGGGGATTTGTTTTTAGTATATATTTAATCTACGTTTTTTTTTGGTATATATATTTAGTCTACGAATTGTTTTTTTGAAGATATATTTAGTCTAGGGGACTTTTTTTTGCATAATATATAGTTAGTCTAGGGGAAAAAAACCCGGAAAGGACAGGAAAGCCTCACAAGACTAATTTCAATGCACGAAAAAGCTTCCGTAGACTAAATTAGTGGCGATCCCGGAAAGGACAAGAAAGGAATAAAAATAATAATGATCATAAGGCCCCCCCCCCACCCCAGAGAAAAAAAAAAGTAATAATAGTCTGCCACCCCCCCCCCAGGAAAAAAACAAAGTAATAATAGTCTGCCAAATCCAGGAACCAATTCCCTCGAACGCTTCCTGGATGACATGGGACTATGGGACATAAAGATATGGATTTACATCAATATGCCAATATGCGTGATATGGTTGACATCCATTGACTGTATATCTATATGGGATATAGATTTTAACAGTCGCAGGAGTCTCGCCAAAGGCCCAGTTAAATCATGCCGGCGCAATGAATTCCAGCAGCTATGCAGAATCTTGCAATTTTGTTTAGATACTATAACCCAGAGGATCCATGTATGGTATATATGCTAACATTGGGGGTATATTGATGGTAAATGTTACCATATATTGCATACATGGATCCTATGGGTAAGAATGTGAACGGCATCTGGATGTGCTCACATGAATAAATGTCAGCCTGTTTTGGAGTGGTTTCTGAGACCCATTCCGAATAACATGGATATCGGATGATGTTGCATAATATTAGCGCCTGCGAACATGAGATATACCCAATATGTCCCCAAAAGGATGCAAAGAAAACCCACGGTTGAGGTATGTCTCATTTTTGGACCGCCGCAAAGTGGCCCTCAAGACATGGGGATTCACCATTGATCTATAGGGAATATCTCCACAAAATATGGCCTGCTATGGTACAGTAGCTCCATTTTTCTTCGGATCGGGATATAGCCTCTGGATATCGATGATATCGCCTCATGCGCTTCGCAATGGATCAGCACTGGCTGTAGACATCATTGCTGGATTTTTTTACAACCTGGCTTCTACAAACTATGGTGCTTACTAGCTATATTACAGACTATGGATAAACAGCAACTATGGATACTAGCTATATTACAAAACTATGGATTCTTGTGGATACTAGCTATATATTACAAACGTTTACAAACTATGGATTACTAACTAGCCATATTACAAAACTATGGTGACTTTCCTCTGTCTTCTTTGGTTGCCATCATGTACCACTTGGATGCTGTGAAATCCTCATGAGATCGAACGGGATATCCCAACAATGACCATTTCATAGGGAAAGATATTAGGAAACACAAATCATAAACCATCAATCTTGTTGGATATATTGGTATCCTCTTTTCAAAGACAAATCCCGATGGTTCTTTCATAATCCACCATAGCACCCGAAGCGAGTCCTTGTTTCAACATCGCGTTGCCCCTCTCACCTTGGACCGTGAAGTGCTAGTCGGACTCGCTGCGACAGGAACGGAGTGCTTGCAAGGAACAATGTAACATGAACATAGACAAAAGAGGATCAAATTAAGATTGTTAGGATACAAACACATATGTATGAATATGACCACTCGTGTGCATATTATATCTCAATTAAATTACATAGTGGAGATTCTAAAGTCAAGGACATGCTGAAAAGAGGTTTGGAATGGCAAATCATGCGGTTCATGTATGGAAACTACTGTTTACACACTTTTAACATATGTTATCTCTATATCATGAATGTGTTTATGTAATGTAATGTAGTGTAGGATAACAAAAGGTCACGTAAAGTAACGTATAATATACATATACAATCACGTTTTGCAAGGGTTTCCTTTTGGTAGCAAGAATAAGCCGGCTTGCAACCAGGCAAAAAACGGATTCCAAGAATGCATCACAGGGATCGGATCCAGAATCGTCATGAGGAACGAAAGATGGTACTTTCGCACACTACGAACACCCCAATGTCCTGCAGCAACTTGATGCCAGCTCTCTGCAGAACATGGCCGCAAGGTCGCAGATTGGAGCAACCCTGTCATCCTACAGGATGGGGCCCCCCAGTGATGTGAACGTTGGTTTATAAACCATGAAATAATCCCCATGAACTAGTTCGTTATATCTACCATAAACCATTGAATTCAGCCACTTATAAACCAACTGAACGCTATCTGAAGGGGGCCCCATCCTGTACACAGTTTATGTTTAAATCAATTCTTTGAAAAGTTCTCCTTTGGGATTCCAGATACCATCGGCTGGGTTATTTTTTTGGCTCCGGCAGTGGATTAAAATGCTGACAGCTTGGTTTCAGCCCCAAATGGCTAATGAATGTATGTTAACCGGCAAAAAAGAAACGTGATATTCCCACGTCATTCGCTAAATGTGTCTGAACATTAGGCAACCCCGAATCCTCCTGTTTCTCGTAATTCTACCTATCAAAAGGATTATGTTGAGGTACCACATGTTCGAGCAAATCCACATCTTTAGTGCGCCTGAACATCCGTTTCAGTGCGCCCTGATGGGTCAAATGATCCATCTCCACATGTGCCAAACCGATGGTTCTCGCGTCACATTTGAACCTTGCCACCATTTTTTTTGCTTGTTACTTTCCCAGTTTTCATCGGATAACTGTCCAATTTTTGCTGGCCAAGTCAAAAAAAGAAATCACTGAGGACCACCCCAATTTTCATGGACAAAAACCCAGGCTTGTTGATTCAATCCAAAGCTTCGCGATAAAATCCAAATGTTCAAAAACCAATTTTTGATCGTGAACCCACCCTTTTTGATGGATAACTGGTTGGTGGTATACCTACCTACCCCTCTGAAAAATATGAGTTCGTCAGTTGGGATTATTATTCACAATATATGGAAAATAAAAGTCATGTTCCAAACCACCAACCAGATAATATTTTTACTGGTAAATATACACATGTGTCATGGTTCTCCCCAATTTTCATCAGATAAACTACCTTTTTGGTGGCTTAAATCCATGAAATTTACCCTCTGGTAAACTAACATCACTATGGAAAATCACCATTGTTAATGGGAAAATCCACGAACTAAATGCCAATGTTCAATAGCTTTTTGTATGTTTACCAGAGGGTATGATTTCTTTGCTGGTTCCCTCCCCACGCATGGACAAAATCCACCCGTTTTTGTTGCTGGTTGCATCTGGATACCATCTCTATCTACAAAGCAATATCTATACATAAAATACCTATCACATAGGTATCTATAGCAAATCAGAGTTTTCCTGAGTTAAACATAGTTGAACCACATTTTTCCTTGGTAAATATAGGTTCTACTGGTTCCCCGCTCACCACTCCTTTCCCATGGTCACCATTCGTCAAGACACGCAGCTGCTGTGCCACTTCGATTCGCTCCTCCACGGTAAGGCGGAACCTCGAGCGAAATTTTAGCTCTGGGGAAAAATGGCGATTCTAATGGGATTTGGTGGGTTGTTATAGTGATTGTATGGTGATTTTATGGTGATGCTGTGGTGTTTGTGTTGTGTTTTAATAGCGGATTTCAATGATGATTTGATGGGATTTCATTGGATTTTAATGGGATTTAATAATAGGATGATCATGATTTTTGATAGATGATTATGTGACAAGCGACAACTATATCATCAACCCCTGTGGGAAAATAAGGTGGGACACCCGAACGCCTTTAAAAAAAAAAACTCAAATATCTACTGCTTGTGGATAGCATAACTATAATTATCTATAGTTATTTGAATAGATATGAATAGCATAACTGTATATAACTATAGCTATCTATAGTTATATGATGTTATATGACTTCATGGGCTTTTAAACCAACTTATATCTACTGGTTCTCACCCACCGATAGTAGCTGTAGCATGCTGTAGCCGCTAAGGCCCATTGAGTTCGATTTTCCATAGCTCTGTTCATAAATTAACAGCTCGACCCTGGCAGGGACAACGGGGTTGGAAGACTAGTGAAACCATGAAAAATTAGTGATTTTCAGGGTCAAACTGTTTATTTACCAGAGGGTATCTTGGAGGTTGATCATGGTTGATGGATGTTCATGGATGTTGATGGATGTTCAAGGTTTTCGAAAAGTGGGACTGCCTACATCCCTTCTGTCGGAGTTTGACCCCTAGATATAAAATTTTCATGCGCGCAAGATCCGGGCAAGTTACACTAATATGCCAACCTGACATGATGTACCAGTTCTGGGGAAGTGTCGCTATGTGGTGTACGGCTCAGTTAACCTTTGCGCCCTGGTGAACGTCCTGGAAAATGAACTGGCACCTTGATACCAAACGCCTATGGCAAGTGGAAGAAATGCATTGGTATGAAACAGCCTGGACAAACATATCTAAACTAAACCATGTGTTGATATTGTGCTACCTAAACATCTTATATTTCATTTCTAGACACAGATCTCGACGTTGTGCTTCTTAGATCTCTGCCGCAGGCGAGGAGCTTATCTTGAGCAGTGCCTTTGACTGTTGCAACTTCAAAGCGCCATTTTCCTCGGCGATCAGAAAGTGGGGCTAGCTGAACTTGGGTCAAAACGCTCCAAGAGTTGGAGATGCGACTCGAGCAAACGAATCGAGCAAACCCTCTGGTTGTTACATAGCCATGGTTAAGCCATGGCCCCAGTCGAAATAGATGGTTTACCGAACTTAATAGCATGGTGGATCTTGACAAATGGCGAACTGTTAGTCATAACCAGATGGTAAAATATATCAAGGCGGCAATTTTGGGATCCAATACCAATTCGGTGGGTCGGTATTTTTAGCTTGCCATAAATGGTCCATTTGCCATAGCTATGTTATAAATATAAATTACCGTAGAGTACAAATTTCATGGTCACTTGATTAACCCATTCTTCTCCATTCTTCTCAAAATATTCTTCCAATATTAAACCATGATGAAAAAAGAGAATAAAATTTACCCTCTGGTAATTTAACATAGCTATTGAAAATGGCACATTTGCAGTTGATTTACCTATTAAGAATGGTAATTTTCCATAGCTATCTATAATCATGATATTGTACTCTATTCGCATTTGATATCAACTAATGGTATTTGATATGCTACTAATCGTAGACTGTATGAATACTATACATATCAAATGCTACTATTAGTATCATACTTGATATCAACTCATAATAATATGCTACTAATAGATTATATACCATTTGATATATAACTAATGATACTATATTCACTAATGATCATTGAAATTCACTAATGATCATGAATGTAAATCTATAACACTGATATTGTACTATTAGTATTTGATATACCCTCTGGTTATTTAACAGTTCGCAATGGTATAGATGGCCCATAGAAATAGATGGTTTACCTGGGTTTACCTATCAAAAATTGGTGGATCTTTCCATGGCGAACTGTTAAAATAACCAGATGGTAAATGGGGGTATTTGACTAACAAAATTGCCAATGATTTAGCCAGCAAAGGAGGTCGCTATAATTTACCCTTTTCTGTGTATATATATATATACATATATATATATATATACGCTATTAAAATTATTTCAGCACATGCCATTTGATAGACACACGGAGATCCGACGATGCCGCCCAGCGATGCCCAGCGTCTGGAGGAGGAAGCGCCGTGGTCCAAGGTGTCATCGTCGGCCAGGGCATGTTCCCCGGTGGCCACCTTGCAGAAATTCTGGAGGGTAGTTGGAAACCATAGGAAAACCATGGGAAAACCATGGGAAACCAGGAAAACCATTGGAAAAGCATTGGACTGAAAAGATGACTTAACCGACTTAAGCAAGAAACATTGTGATGAAAAATGGGGGTGAGAGCTGATTGATAGCCAAGTTGACACAGAAAACTTGCTTAACTTGGGTTGATTAAGGGAATATGACGGATATACAACTATAGACTATAGTATTCTTTATGTGAACATGAACCAACGTTCACATCACTGCGGAGCCACCTGGTAGTTGGTTGAAGCACCTGAATTCCATAAGATTCACAAGCTGATTGTTTTCGGAGGATAGTATTTACTGTAAAGGCATGAACCAATCATCACCACACTTTAAGTAGTGAAAAAAAAGCCCCGAAAATCCAACAAGTTAACCATCCATTGAATTTAAAGCATTGGTGCATTTAATTTAGAGGTCTCACGCCATTAAAAAAAAGGAGGCAAGAGGTGGATAATATCATGAGCCACCAAAATTATGGGAAGATCAAGCAACAACAATCTACTGATTGGTGGTTTTGTGCCATCCGGCAGATGAGCCGAGTGAATACTGGGATCGCGTCCCATGCCATCACTGACTTCACTGGCGTCGTCGTTACTCACTTCGCCTCTCTTAAGCAATCCTAGCAATGACCATGAACAGTGGGATTCTTGGGTTCTCCTAAAAGGATACTCTGAAGAATGAGGGAACATGCTTTGGGTGAGCATGTCATTTATGTAAAATTTATTTGACCTTACTCGGTTTACTCACTCGGTGATTCAGTACAAAACATTGTGGACTGAAGTCAGAAGTTTTCTGCTAATGTTCCACTAGTTATTCAACATAGCTATGGACATTTCACCATTTAGTTCTACGTATGATTTTCACATCAAAACCTCCATTTATAATCATTCATAGGGATTTTTTCCGCCTGACAGATTTGATTACCTGAGGGTACCTCTTGATGTGGTTACCAGGATTCTTACTCGTCTAGATCTGTGGGGCCCAAATCCAGATCTGCACGACCCTCGCTCTTGTAGGGTGAGAGAATACCCAAATGTCAATGCAAAAAGTGGACACGTCAACACATCACAACTCATATTGTCTTAGTTGTTGATGATTGATGCGTCAATCCCCGTTTTGCACCACAGTTGGCAGTTGGATACTGAATGTTAGATTCCAACGCAATTTTGGATACGTCGCCCCAAGTGAGGAGTGTTCAAGACCCGAAATGTCGTCCCTTCAAAAACTGGCCGGCGAATAGGATGTCCCATAGTGCAGAAATTATATGGATTATGATTAATCCAATATATTGGCTAGTACAACCCCCAGTATACATCTGGTTGGTGGTATACCTACCCCTCTGAAAAGTATGAAAGTCAGTTGGGATGATGAAATTCCCAATATCTGGAAAAATAAAAGTCATGTTCCAAACCACCAACCAGACATATCATTAACCATCATTAACCATCATTAACCGTCATTAACCATCAGCTGCCAGCGGTTTTGCTGGTTGAATCCCTCTTGAATTCGTATGAATCCCAGGAACGACATCCACCACGTCTCCCACTTGAAGTCCTCAGACTGGCGGTGTCGTTGAACCTGCCCATATTGGGAGATGGTGATTTTCCATAGCAATGTTAGCTTACCAGAGGGTAAATGAGATAAGATATATGGAATATATGGAATATATGGAATATATGAAATATATGGAATATATGGAATATATGGAATATATGGATATACCCTCTGGAAATTTGTTACATAGCTATTGAACACGACCATAGAAATAGTTGATTTACCTATTAATAATGCTGATTGTCCATAGTTATGCTAGTTTACCAGAGGGTAACACCCACGAACAAGATCAAACAAGAACACACCTTACTTTACTTACTTTGATAAATTTGAAATAACTGTACGTTTTGTAGCACCTTCCTGGTTACAGTACATCCCTGTTTTTGTAGCACCCTAACCCTCAGGAAATCTGGCTATGGTATAGACTGCCACTATTTGTTCGGTAGAGTCGACTTCGAACGTTTGGCAGCAGTTGCAACAATCGACCAACCTCCATTAATGGCAAAGAAATCTTCTCACGGGATGTTCTCCCATTTATTGCACCAACTAAAAGAAGCAAACCTACCCTCTGGCAATTTAACATAGCGATAGAACACCACATTTAGGAAGCGAATCATCTATAAATCGGCTATGTTCCATAGCTATGTTAAATTACCTTAGGTTTTATGCAGTTGGCTATTCATGATATTCGCCCCCTTCACCAAGAATCCATGCATGAGTTCACCCTTAAGCCAGGTTGGCCAGTAGTATACGCCCCCGTGATTGCAACCAATTTATAGCTGGGTGTCAAAATGATTCCCACAGTTATATCCATGGATATCCCATTGCATTCATGTACATCCCGGAGAAGTTGAAGACTTAGTTGAAGATACTCCCGGACAAAAAAGTTGCTTTGTTGGGTAAATCATCTTCATGATTTTCTGGTCAACTATCACAAGCACCATGATGGTCAAAGCACCATGATGGTCAAAGCACCATGTTTCATGGTTAAATCACCATGTTTCATCATTGTTCGTAGTTACATCTCATTACATCTCCATGGTTCATAGTTAAATCATAGTTAAATCACAGTTAAATCATAGTTAAATCATATCAAATTACCATTTCTCATAGTTCTCTCCATGGATTTCTACCTTTCCACCCAGCTTTTCGGAAAAGGCTCGTCGCGCGGTGACTTCCAAGGCCCAGGGCAAAGTTGCAGCACCCAACACAGCCTGGCGGCTTGCCGCGGATGACTTGAAGGGATGGTGATGGTGAATTGCTATCATTAACAAGTATCAACCAAATATGACTGGTTGGTGGTTTCAACCGCTCTGAAAAATATTAGTCAGTTGGGATTATTATTCCCAATATGGAAAAATAAAAATGTTCCAAACCACCAACCAGATGAAAATTGTTAATTGATAGTCATAGTATCTTAATGGTATCATGAAAAATGGTTGATAATTTTCCTAGTGTTAACAATTTCCATGAATTAATAATTGTCGGCGCGAATTTATTAGTGAGTTATCATAGTAGTTCATTTAGAACAATTACCCAAAATGGCTAGCAATAGTTTATAATGATTTATTCAAGCAATTAACAATTGCTATCATTAACTAAATGAATTACTATCATTAACTATCAATGACTTGACTATAATGAATTAAATAATTACTATCATTAACTATAATTAAGAATCAATAATAATAATTGACTATAACGATGGTTAACTACTAGTACTAATGAATGGTGAATTATTCAAACAATCTGTATTTTTTTAAGGAATAGCAAAGAACTATCATGGATTGACTACTGGCTATTGACTGAATGGTTCGATAACCAATGGATCATAGTTAACAGTGGTTGATTGTTAGAATTTCAACCAAAAATCCAATGGTTGATGGCGACAAAAGCGGATTAAGTAGGCTTCATGGTTTATGGATGCTTGTGGTAGATATCATGATATCTCTATAGTTAGATGGCTTTATGGTCATAACATATTACACTGAGTTGGGGTCATCCTCCCAAATAGGGTTGAACATCAAAAACGTCGAAAACGACCAACCAAACAATTATAGCAAGCTCCAAAAAAAGGAAAACAAACTCTGAATACATTATTTAATAGCAAATTACTTTTCTATTCCCTTGGGGGTTACTATGGGTTACTATAGCTACAAACAATTAACAACTGAGAGATGGCCACAAAAGACTAGCGAGATATAGCGGAGCGAGAGGGCTGGGCGTTGGATGGCGCGGGTTGATTGGATAACATGGTGATTTCGCTGCTTGATCCACCAGAAATATGGATCTTAACTGGTTCTGAATCGGTGATGTGGATACTCTTGCGTAAGAATGGGGGTATCAAAACTAGACCGGCTAAGGGTCTACCCTGGCAGGTCCCTACTGTGGATGGGCCAGCGAAATCCGATAAACCACCAATTTCGGATGGTTGAAACATGTTGAAACCCTACAATTGATGGGAGAAGCCATCTATCAACTGGTGCTTGGGATTTCGCAACCATCCACAGTACCCTCTGGTAAACTAACATAGCTATTGAAAATGGCCATTTATAGTGGATTTACCAAAAAAAAAATGGTGATTTTCCATAGTTACGTTAGTTTACCAGAGGGTAGATCAAACAAATCTTGGGGGCCCCTGGGCCACAAGCTCAAGTCACCGGCGCCTCTGAAAGGGGTTCACCTTCGGCCGTGCGGTAAGCGATGCTGCAACCGTCGCCTGCCAACCAACGTTCTCGTTACAAAGGGCTGGGTTGGATGGGATGGGGAGCCCACCCTGGCAAAAATGGGGGATTTGATCGTTTTATCATGTTTTATCCATCCAAAATATGGGACCTTCACTGGTTGAAAATTTCAGGAACCAATGATTTAATCAACAAATCTGGATGTACAGCATTCTAAAGGCTATGGCTGAACATTGGGGTGACGATGGAACCCAAAAATATATGTCTACATTTTTTTTTGACCATTCCATGGGGATCAAGACTTTTGAGCCTTGCTTGCTCCAAAGTGCTCCATGTCCCAAGGATGGTTTTCAAAAAATTCGAGGAAATCCCTAGATTTGGAAAACATGTTTCATATACCCTCTGGTTATTTAACGTAGCTATAATGGAAAATGGCCCATTTATAGATGTCTTTTGATGATTTATATACCTCATAAAAATGATGATTCTCCATAGCACGTAAATAACCAGAGGGTATCTTTGCTGGCTATGGCTATACCCCCATTTAATCCCCCCTGTTACAGGTACTAAACTAAGCCTTTGCTACCTACTTCGGGTCGCAGGTGAAGTTACACATTGGAATAACCACAGTTGTAAACCCCCATAAGTTGGGATATAACCCCTATAACTTATAGCCTATAACTATAGTTATATATGCACTTGTAAATGGAACTGAATTTCAAAGTACCGCATTACCAATTTCAGAAACAGATCGGATCATTCCAGCATATGCAGCAGCTGCGGCGTACCTATGCGGGCACTCCGCTCCGCAGCCCTGCCATCAGCGGTTGACTGGACACCAAAAATCTGAAGATCGGGAGTCGTGAAAACGTAGTCTGTGAGGATGTTCGATACTGGTTAAAACGAGCGTATAATGTCATGGTATCGGTGTTTAAACAATTGTTTTCTTGATGGTTTTCTATCTCAAGATTCGGAAACGTTTAGAGATCAGTGAAGTGATATACCATCTCTAAACGTCTGTTCAGTGAAGTGATATACCATATATATAATATACCATATCTATGTAGAGATCAGTTGTTCCACTATCCCTGTAGATTCTTAGGGATTTAAAAATCCGCTCCGGAGAACAGGATCTAGTCTGTCTTGCCCAAGAAGTTCCCATTGATTCGATGGTGAGCTAGTGAGTTAATGGGATTTGAATAAATGTGATAACTCAACTATATATATATATATAAGTTACTCATATTTGTGTATATTAGTAGGCCCCTATTAAACTTATCTCATTGATGTGTATGGCGAGTAATGGTGATTTGACGAAGGTTTTTATATGGATTTAATCATCAAACATGTATGGATCCCAACCTACAACATGCCCATGGGGGATCTAACCTACAAACAAGCATTTTTTTAGGGAGAAACTATGAATAGTGATGGGATATCACCAGCTATATTCATATGTTGCCCCAGCTAAGTTGGTGTAAAAAATCATATTTCACTTACCCTCTGGTAATTTGTTACAGTTTGCTATCGAAAATGGTGATTTATAGTGGATTTACATGGATTTACCCATTAAAACTGGTGATTTTCCATAGCTTTTTGTATGTTTAGCGGGCTGGGTAGGTTTTATGATGAAATAACACCACCACGGGCCCCACGGGCACCCACCGGAAAAAAAAAAAAACAACCCTCACTCTGGTAGAATTGTGCCTATAGCTGGGAAAACATGACTTATGAAAGATGCAGATCATGGAAAATCTAAGGTATGTGCTTCGAAGTCATGACCAGTCATGATGGATGATGATAGTTAAATATAATTAAATGATTTCAGTTATGCTTTATGATTAAAGATACCTTCATCATCAATCTAGTATGTGCTTGAAGCTATCCTTTGATAATTTATCATCGCCATGGAAAATCACCATTTTTACGGCAGCACATCAGCGACCAGGCCATCTGCATGCCGCCAAAGCTTGAGTCACTGGAGGCGAAGTCTAGAATTCACCAATGATTCTGGGCAAAGTATAAGAATTCACTAACCTGAAATAAGGCCTTTCATCATGTGAGAAGCCATAGGGCTCTGCCCTGAGGCCCAAGTGATGACTCAGCGGACTGTTCTCGGTTTGCCTTCCATGTTGGAAGGATATGTGAAAATAAATTACCTGAAATGTTGGGCCATTTTGGGATGATTCCCCAAAAACATTTACCGTGATTCCAGATGATTCCAGTGAGGGAGATCAGATATAATTCATTTGCCCAGATGATTGTGAAAAACCATAAGCGCTCCAAGGTGGCTCCCCTAACTCGAAAAGTTATAAACCAACTTGTACCTGGGGGCTGACATTATTAGAATCTACCACCAAAAAGCTATCGATGACTGTTTCCCCTACCGCTTCGCTTTTTCGCCCCACCGGCGAAGGGCCCCAGCGGCCCCACCTCTTGATCATTTGGTACCTCACCGCACCGTCACAAAGCACCACCTCCGTCTCTTTCTCAGGATCCTGGAGAAATCAACGAGAAAACGAGACCCGCACCGTGCCATGGTGCGGGTTGAACTAGAAATCCACTACGAACGGTGGGCCCACGCCGAGTTAGCGAAGTGGATTATGACCAATAATGAACTACAGTAACTAGGAATTATGGCTATTACACATATATATATATAACTATATAGTTAATGGGCTTTATAAACCAGCTTATAGCTGAGGAGACAGTTGGGGCGCATTTTGGGTGGTAAATGGTGGTAAATGCATGTCATGCTGGGGGTATGGAGCATATGGGTGAGTTATGGTTTTTTGAGCGCTTTGAAATCACTCTTCAACTCTCTTCAACTCTCTTCAACTATCTTCAACTCTCTTCAACTATCTTCAACTATCTTCAACTATCTTCAACTATCTTCAACCCGTGGGGTTACAAATAAAAAGAAAGGTTCTTGAACTAACTAGAATTTTATGGCTATGAAATAACTATAGTTCATGGTTCTTTAGTTATAGAATTCACTGAATTGGTGGGTCGCTTTCCCATGGGCTTTCCACAGATTTTCACCGAATCCAATCCACCGGAGATCGTGGGAGATCCTCTGCAGACGATAAGCACATTTTTTGGAAGCAAATATCCACAAAATATGAACAGAGTCCACATAAAAAATGTTTGTACTGGACAGTATTCAAATGTTTGTGGACTCTATTTATATTTACAATATGTGTTTGTATATGTGTAGATGTTTACAAATGTTTGTATATTTGTATATTTGTAAATATAAATAGAGTCCACATTTTTTGTATATGGGTTCTGTACTAAACAATCTGTACAAATATGAATGATAGTCCCAGAACATCCATCATTGTTTAGTACAGATAGTATACCATGTTTAACATCTGTTATTGTTTAAACATATACCATGGTATACCTTACGTTTAACATATACCATTGTTTGTTAAGTTATTTATTGTTCAAATATGAATGATATACCATTGTTTAACCATGACCAGTAGCTAGTATAGTACAGATATGGTAAATTATAACTATTATTACTATTGTCTATGAAAATAGCCATTGACCATTATCAACCAGTAACCATCATTACCCGTAACTAGTCAGTAACTAGTAGTACATATATATATATATCAAGTTTTCCTGCAACATTCTGATCCAACTCTAGATACAGTCCCACAAATTGACCGATGATTAGAAGAACTCAACCGCTTCTGGCCGCAGAAAAGCCAGTAGTTTAACTATAAATCTCTTTGAACAATACCCTCCGGTAGATTCACAGCTCGATCCTGAAAATCACCCATTTTTTAGTGGTTTCACCAATCTTCCAACCCCGTTGTCCCTGGCAGGGTCGTCATGTTTTGCTTTACTGGCGCGTAAGTTGTGCACTATAAACATTGCCAATCTTAGATACCCTGCAAAAAATGACAAATTCTTTGCTGGTGAACGGTTCGATATTCCCATACCAAAAGACAACAGTTAGGATTAGTTTCTACCCATCCAGTCGATTGACCTAGAAAAAAAAAAAAAACATAAATCTCCCATACCCAAGTGTCCGCTCCATCCCGCCACCTCAGGAGTCACCTTCTGAATTGCCTCCTCGACATCCTCGACATCCTGGTGAAGTGGTGAAGTAGACATCAATTACTTACACAACGCTAAATGAACATGACGACCCTGCCATGGGTCGGAGGTTGGAAAATGACTTTCCACTAAAAGTGGGATGATTTTCAGGGTGTAAATTTGCTGCAGCAAACTAACCAAACATATTCATGAACGGTAATTTCGAAGGTATATATGTGTTATCTTTTTTACCAACCAAAGACATGATTCAAATTGATTCAACCAATACTTGAATCGAAAAAAATGGATCAAAATGGGTTCACATCGTTAATATCCTAAGATGAGTGCGCACCTTTGTCATGCAGGTCACAACGCCGGGAATCTCGCCATTTCAGTGGTACCACCCGGATTTACTGAAACAAGCTGCAGTTCTGCTGCAATTTATGTTACTATCTGGTTATGACTAACAGTTTGCCATGGAAAGATCCACCCATTTTCCAGTTCGGTAAACCATCTATTTCTATGGGCAATCTATACCATGGCTATGTTAAATAACCAGAGGGTAATTTATCAATGATTTATCCCATAAACCAATCCAATTTTTCAGCTCCCGATCCAGCCGTAGCTTCGAGTTTGTGTTTGGGGGATGATTTGAGGGGTATGTACCTTCAAAGGACATATATAATTGGATCCATACCGAAAAAACATAACCATGATATTCATATCGATGGCAGAAAAAAAAAAAGTGATCTTAGCCCGACATTGCCGGCAGATCTCACATGCGGTGGTTGTATGCTCCACTTCTCTTGGTTCCATAATGTTAGAGTCAAAGATTGTTTGGGGATGGTCATCGCAAAACAATTACCAGTCATGTTGACTGCTGGTAAAGCAATGTCATTTTTACCACCCATATGGATTGATTCTTTATACCACCTATAAAAATAGTGAATCTGGGGGGTGCTTTATTAAATTGCTTTACTCACATTACTGTTGAATGATCAACGCTTCATCCCGAGTAATCCAAGTATTGGTGACTTCTCCATCTTTGGTGATCAGTTATCCCATCTATCCATATCTATCCCATTCATGGCGCAAGCACCATGGGTTTTTGACCATCGCCAACTGGCTGCACATCCAAGTTTCCCGCTGGCTTGGCTTCAAAGCGTCATTTCCCGCACACATTGTGCACTGGTGCGTTTTAATGGGCCTAAAGTGGTGCAATGATCCTGCTATGTGTGGACAAACACATAGCAAGGTTAAATCCACAATTTGAATGTTGTTCATGGTAAACACATTTTTTCTGGGTTAAATCATGTTAAATCCTCATATCTTATATAAAGACCCTCAGTTGTAGATTTGAACCTCACCCCTGGTACCTCTGTCGTTGCTTCAGCGTCGCCGTCGCCGCCGTCGCCGTCGCTCTCCAGCAAACGCTGCAGGTCAGCGTTCTTCAGCATGGCTCTTCTTTTACCGCGCAGCAGTTAAAGTTAGCTTAAGGGATTTGAGTGAAGCGAAGCTATTTAGTGAGATATGATATCGGCCAAGTGTCTGGTGTTGTTTGTTTCATGCTTATTCACAAGTAAGCCAAGTATCTGCATTTGCTCACGTGTCAGATTTTGTTCATGTGAGCCTTGACTCAATTACGATCTCTTCTTGCATTATGTGTGGACTATCAAATATCCCAAATTTTAAGGGGTCATAGTCCAGTTGCCACCATGTACTAACGGACTGACCCAGAAACAAACTTACCATCTGGTTATGACTAACAGTTTGCCATGGAAAGATCCACCCATTTTCAAGTTCGGTAAACCATCTATTTCTATGGGCAATCTATACCATGGCTATGTTAAATAACCAGAGGGTAAAACAAATGATCATTGGATATCATTGGGGCATGCTTTGGGAAAACTCTGCTTGACACATGATCTTGAGATGCCTTCGACTCATGGAGATGTTTGTCATGTCCCACCTACCTTGGGCTGCTGGGCGTAAGCTGGGCGTGTTGTTCTTCTCAGTAGCACGGCACTTGGGACACTCCCAAAACGGAGTATTTCCGAGAAGTAGCCTCTGGTAAACGTTTACATAGCTATGGAAAATCATCGTTTATAATAGGTAAATCCATGTAAATCCACTGATGGGCCATGTTCAATAGCTATGTAAGAGTCATTACCAGAGGCTAATTGTCCCATTGATCGATTTCGGGTCCCAGCCATGGATGACGACGGTTCGGAGATGATCATTTTATGGAGCGGCTTTCGGCCGTTCGGAATCCTCGAAGCCAGTCCCTCGAAGCTGTAGCAAATCTCCAAAGTTCATATCCTGGGAGATCCTGTTGGTACCCTCCAGTAAATCAACATAGACCCTGGCAGTTGTCGGGGTTGGAAGATTAGTTTCCACTAAAAACTGGTGATTTTCAGGGTCAACAAGTTAATTTACCAGATGGTAAAATGTATCACAATGTACCCTCTGGTAATGCTGCAATCCAAGCCATGTCGTGGATAGTGAGTCGCGGACGTCCCGGGAGCTATGCTTAGAATTCCCAGTCCTGTATTAGGGGTATGGGTCCAGATTTTGGGAGATTTCTAGCTAAGAAAATCAATCCCTGTGGGTCTTGGTCATTTGCCCAGCCACTTGGCTTGAACATGTCCCAAAATCCTCCTGACCGACTTAGTGAACATATTATCATATTGAACATCATGATTGAACCTTGATAAAATGCATCAATTATCATCAAATCATGATTGAATCTCCACTAAATGTATCAAATATCATCAAATCATGATTGAATCTTCATTAAATGCATCAATTATCATCAAATCATGATTGAATCTCCACTAAATGTATCAAATATCATCAAATCATGATTGAACCTTCATTAAATGCATCAATTATCATCAAATCATGATTGAATCTCCACTAAATGCATCAAATATCATCAAATCATAATTGAATCTTCATTAAATGCATCAATTATCATCAAATCATGATTGAATATTCATTAAATGCATCAATTATCATCAAATCATGATTGAATCTTCATTAACTGCATCAAATATCATCAAATCATGATTGAATCGTCATTAAATGCATCAATTATCATCAAATCATGATTGAATCTGCACTAAATGCATTAATTATCATCAAATCATGATTGAACCTTCATTATATAAATGCATCAATTATCATCAAATCATGATTGATTCTTCATTAACTGCATCAACTATCATCAAATCATGATTGAATCTTCATTAAATGCATCAATTATCATCAAACCATGACTGAATCTTCATTAAATGCATCAATTATCATCAAATCATGATTGAACCTTGATAAAATGCATCAATTATCATCAAATCATGATTGAATCTCCACTAAATGTATCAAATATCATCAAATCATGATTGAATCTTCATTAAATGCATCAATTATCATCAAATCATGATTGAATCTCCACTAAATGCATCAAATATCATCAAATCATGATTGAACCTTCATTAAATGCATCAATTATCATCAAATCATGATTGAATCTTCATTAACTGCATCAAATATCATCAAATCATGATTGAATCTTCATTAAATGCATCAATTATCATCAAATCATGATTGAATCTCCACTAAATGCATTAATTATCATCAAATCATGATTGAACCTTCATTATATAAATGCATCAATTATCATCAAATCATGATTGAATCTTCATTAAATGCATCAATTATCATCAAATCATGATTGATTCTTCATTAAATGCATCAATTATCATCAAATCATGATTGAATCTTCATTAAATGCATCAATTACCATCAAACCATGACTGAATCTTCATTAAATGCATCAATGATCATCAAATCATGATTGAATCTTCATTAAATGCATCAAATATCATCAAATCATGATTGAATCTTCATTAAATGCATCAATTATCATCAAATCATGATTGAATCTTCATTAAATGCATCAATTATCATCAAATCATGATTGAATCTTCATTAAATGCATCAATTATCATCAAATCATGATTGAATCTTCATTAAATGCATCAATTATCGATTGAATCTCCACTAAATGCATTAATTATCATCAAATCATGATTGATTCTTCATTATATAAATGCATCAATTATCATCAAATCATGATTGAATCGTCATTAAATGCATCTATTATGAGATTATCATCAAATCATGATTGAACCTTCATTAAATGCATCAATTATCATCAAATCATGATTGAATCGTCATTAAATGCATCAATTATCATCAAATCATGATTGAATCGTCATTAAATGCATCTATTATCAGATTATCAGCAAATCATGATTGAACCTTCATTAAATGCATCAATGATCATTAAATCATGATTGAATCGTCATTAAATGCATCAATTATCATCAAATCATGATTGAACCTTCATTAAATGCATCAATTGTCATCAAATCATGATTGAACCTTCATTAAATGCATCAATGATCATTAAATCATGATTGAATCGTCATTAAATGCATCTATTATGAGATTATCATCAAATCATGATTGAACCTTCATTAAATGCATCAATTATCATCAAATCATGATTGAATCGTCATTAAATGCATCAATTATCATCAAATCATGATTGAATCGTCATTAAATGCATCTATTATCAGATTATCATCAAATCATGATTGAATCTTCATTAAATGCATCAATTATCATCAAATCATGATTGAATCTTCATTAAATGCATCAATTATCATCAAATCATGATTGAATCTTCATTAAATGCATCAATTATCATCAAATCATGATTGAATCTTCATTAAATGCATCAATTATCATCAAATCATGATTGAATCTTCATTAAATGCATCAATTATCATCAAATCATGATTGAATCTTCATTAAATGCATCAATTATCGATTGAATCTCCACTAAATGCATTAATTATCATCAAATCATGATTGATTCTTCATTATATAAATGCATCAATTATCATCAAATCATGATTGAATCGTCATTAAATGCATCTATTATGAGATTATCATCAAATCATGATTGAACCTTCATTAAATGCATCAATTATCATCAAATCATGATTGAATCGTCATTAAATGCATCAATTATCATCAAATCATGATTGAATCGTCATTAAATGCATCTATTATCAGATTATCATCAAATCATGATTGAACCTTCATTAAATGCATCAATGATCATTAAATCATGATTGAATCGTCATTAAATGCATCAATTATCATCAAATCATGATTGAACCTTCATTAAATGCATCAATTGTCATCAAATCATGATTGAACCTTCATTAAATGCATCAATTATCATCAAATCATGATTGAATCGTCATTAAATGCATCAATGATCATTAAATCATGATTGAATCGTCATTAAATGCATCAATTATCATCAAATCATGATTGAACCTTCATTAAATGCATCAATTGTCATCAAATCATGATTGAACCTTCATTAAATGCATCAATTATCATCAAACCATGACTGAATCTTCATTAAATGCATCAATTATCATCAAATCATGATTGAACCTTGATAAAATGCATCAATTATCATCAAATCATGATTGAACCTTCATTAAATGCATCAATTATCATCAAAACATGATTGAATCGTCATTAAATGCATCAATGACCTTCCCAACCTTCCCCCCATGTGTCACTTCTTGTCCCTTTATTACCCCTTTGTTCAACGCCGCCTGAAAACGCGTGCGTCGCTTCAGGGGGATCGTGTAGGATCCAGTGGATCCAGCACCTGGCGGCTTCCTCTATCCACCATGCTACAAAAATGGGTAAAATCCACGAACTAAATCACCATTTTCCAGTTCGCTATGTGAATGTTTACCAGAGGCTATTTGATGGTATTTGCAGTATCCCACGGCATCCCAAATTGTGCTGAATTGCTGTCTATATAATAACCTCGCGACGTTGCTGTCGCTCTTTGAGGCGTCTCATAGACTGTTTATTCGGAGAAGTTTAAGGGGACCCAAAGGTGAACATGGAAATAGGGCCTTATACCCTACTACAATGTGGGGCCCCCAAGATAGCTAAGTTGGTTTATAACTCTAATAACTATGGTTTATGGTACTTATAACTATAGTTATGGGGGTTTATAAACCAACTTATAACTGGGGGGCCCCACATTGTATATACTATCAATATAGGTTACCCTCTGGTAAACATACGATAAACTATAGAAAATCACCATTTTAGAGCTGGGTAACTATTTCTATGGCCATGCTCAATAGCATTTTGTTAGTTTACAAAAAGGGTATAATAAAGGTCATAATAGTTGAGGTTTCTATATGTTCTTTGGTGTTTTTTCCGATTTCGCATTTTATCCTCCCATCTCTAGTTGGTTGATAGGTTTCTCTACTCTGGCTGAGTTCATAGTAATTCTTTGTCGCGAAAGACGGGGATGGTATACTGGTTGGTGGTTTCAACCCCTCTG